CCATATGTATGCAATGCAACAAATATTGACAAATAATCCATGTGGTGAGAATATTCTACCTGTATTAACAGCAGGTTAGGTTTTCTAGGATGTTCGAATTGTAGTTTCAATATAAATACAACCACAGAGTGACATATTTGTGTATGGACCAGGTGCTCTAATGGCAAATTCCGCGCCAGTGCCAGCTATAGGAACAAGACGTGGAAAATGTTAGGTTAGTGAGCATATCAACAATGATAATAGTGATTATTTATTCCTCTCCATACTACACTGTGTTTGACCTTATAATCAAATGAAGCTAAACAATATTGTTGTTTGAGACAAAAAAACTATATTGCTTGCCGTGATTGATCAAAAACAAGTTATCCATCCCGAGAATAACGAATGAAATACAGATCAAGCAAGTATTTGAATCTTGAAGGCTTTCCTGATCAAAACAAAAATGCTCAACTGAGATGATTATAATTCCAATACTAAACTATAATAAGGTGTATTAATATCTCCAGCATGGGTATGAAATACCAAATCTGCTGAAATCGGAAACAATTCAGGTATGCGTCTCAACCCAACCAAATAACCAGCCGTCACAATGTTGTTTATTCTTGATGACGTCCAGTACATCCTTTTTAGTTCCTAGGAGCTAAAGTTCAACTTTAGCTCCTAGGAACTAAAATTCAACTTTAGCTCCTAGGAACTAAATATGTTGCATAGCAACATACCTATTTTTGTGTCAGTAATAGAAACGTCAATTTAAGAGCTGATTTTGGTATCAAAATGGACGACTTTTGTGTCGGTTGCAGAAAAAAACATTGTTACGGTTGGCTATTTGGGTTGGGACGCATAACTGATTTGTTTCCGATCTTGGCAGATTTGACATTTCATACCCATGCTGGAGGTATGAATACACCTCATTATAGTTAAGTATAGGAATTATGAACATCTCAGTCAAATATTTTTGTTTTGATCAGCGGAGCCTTCAAGATTCAGATACTTGCTTGTTCTGTATTTCATTCGTTAAGTATTCTCGGGATGGATAACTTGTTTTTGAATTATCACGACAAGCAATAGTTTCTTGTCTCCAACAACGAAATTGTTTACCTCCATTTGATTATCAAGTCAAACACAGTGTAGTTTGGAGAGGAATGAATAATCGATATTCCAATTCCAGGCACTGGTGCGGTATTTGCCATTAGATCACCTGGTCCATACACAAATATGTCACTCCGTGGTTGTATTTATATTGAATAAACTACAGTTCGAACATCCTTGAAAATTGAATAATCCTGCTGTCAATGCAGGTAGAATATTCTCACCACACGGATTATTTATCTGTTGCATTGCATACATATTATTATTGTAAGAACTGTCAAATGTCATTTCCGAATTGTGTTGCAATCTGAATTATTGAAATAATTTCCGTTTGTATCAGAATTTTTCATCAAAAATGTATGCGAAATGTAGACGAGAGTGAAATCGAAAAGAATGTTTTAGGTAGGTATTTCCAAGAACTCTAGGTAAAAATTAAGCTCTCATCTTTGTGGGCAATTCATTCTATGTTAAGAGTGACAATAAACGTGAAGCACATTATTCATGTGACCAGAATTATGCAATCAGAATATGGATACAAACCCGAGAAATCGAAAACTTTTACACCATAGCGAATCGAATATAGTTTTCATCTACTACGTCATATGAAATCTCATTCACGAAGGTCAGTAAACAAGCCATTTCAATAGAAATTCATCTATCCTATGGACTGGACGCACATCTACAACCAATATAACTTATACGTGTCTCGTTACTTCCATGCAGTTGCATAGTATTATATGTATTATTTTCCCAATTCCCATTTCCTTTGAATTATTTTGTAGGTTAGCAGATAGGTTATCAACTGATTTTCAGAATTATGGAATCTTGTCGAAGAGAGGAATTATGAGTTCGTAGAAAAAGTATAGTATGTAACGCTCTGCTGTGCTCGTGCTTAAAATTCTCGTTACTAAAATGACATTCATAACACTTGTTACATGATATACTATTAGTAGTATATACGGACTTTCATCTAATGTGAGGTTTTTAAGTTACAAGGAATTATTTTATATATCTAGAGAGGCTTATATGGTCACTTACTTATGCTACTATCAAAGAACAAGTTGATAACGTTGTCTCTACTTTATACACAAGGAAACATGACATTCGAAAATAGTTTCGTAATTGAAATGCGACACATCAATATTTTTTTCAATTTTCTGGAGTGCACGAGAGAAAATTCCTATTATATTCGTAAAACAACGTGCGCGTACCTATAGGAAGGATAGAGAGAGAATATAGGTATTTGAAATTTTTTGAACTCTTGAAAGTATACTTTTCAGGCTAAGAATTCTGGAGCTCTGTGACTTATCTTGTGCATGGTTGACGACAAAATGTTGTTAGTGACTCGGTTAGTGATGAACTGTTAGCCAAGATCAACATTTTCCGTGGAAGCTGGAAGAACCTATTGAAAAGTGAAAAGTCGCTGATTTTCCTGCGGTGTTCCATCAATGATGTTCCATCAATGATGTCCAGGAATGAGCCAAGCTGATGAATCCAACAGATTGCAAAATACATTATCGTAAGGTACGAACTTTGTATAACCTTATAAATCTTGATTAACTAATCTAACCCTAATACCCTAACGGTAAGGGTAACCTAACCTATACGTACAATCAGAGGAGTCGGTAGTGAATACCAAACGTTTAGTAAAATAGACGCCAGTCACTACATTCATCGAATAATATCACAATATGGTCTCATAGTATATACTATGACGGATTGAAGAAACAACTATCAATAAAATATCGAAAAATATTGATTTATACGAATTCTTTCGAATTGTGATATCTTGACTATATATCGGTTGTTCAGAAAATAATCTTATCCCGGTCCTGGTTATTCTTCAACAAACAAAAAAAAGAGCACCTAGTCTAATTTAAACAAAGGATGTATCTACATTCATTTGACTCAGGAAAAAAACATCATTATTTTCACCTATGCAATGATAATGAGCATCATTTGATTTTTTATTATCCACGTGATTGTTATATAAATAAATATTCCATCAATGATTTGAAATTGTTATTTATCGTTACACATGTTTTGAAATTTCATTGATATCTCGGTACATATGAAAAATTCAACTGTTAATCATTTAATGATTCTTGATCAAGACACTTCACTGCCTCACTTAACCAATATTTTCAAAAGGCGATTGAAAGTGTCATGCTTTTCACTTGTTTGCACTCTCGCAAATGTAGAGACTATCATTTTGATATAAATGAAAAAAAAAAAAAACGACTTTCAGCTTGCCAAAATCATCATCATAACGCCACATACAGAGAAGTGCACAAAAAACGGCCACGACTCTAACTTTTGAATTAATCGAGATAGGGTTCTGAAAATTGGTGAGCAGCTAGAATACCAAATTGTTCATTTTTGTTCTATCACTTCCGGTTTTACTGGAAACGACTTCAACTTTGGATTTTCAAATGGGACACCCTGTATTGTATTCCATAATCGGATAGGGATTGTCATAACGAATTCGTCGATACCGGGTTTGATAGGGTTATTTCAAACGATTACGCAAATATTCGCGTTTTTAGTTTCCATATGCTTAATGAGTGTGACAGAGGAAGAAGTTTTGATATTGCGAAGTCACGCCCATTGAGCATATGGAAACTTTGAACGTAATAAATGTCTTTGTAATCCTTTGAAATAACCCTATCAAACCTGGTATCAATGAATTCGTCATGATTATCCCTAACCGATTATGGAATACAATACAGGGTGTCCCATTTGCAAATCAAATGTTGTAGTCGTTTCCGGTGAAACTGGAAGTGATAGATGAAAAATGGTTCCATCAATTAATGAGCAATTTGGTGTAGTTGCTACCCACTAATTTTCAAAACCCTATCTAGAATAATTTTAAAGTTACAATCCTGATGGCCGTTTTTTGTGCACTTCACTGTATATATTTTATATCGATCGTCCTATATGTATTCGGTACACAAGTATTTGATAGATAGTCTTTAGTCATACATTATCTGAAATTATCCCACTTGTTTTTCTCAATAATGTACAGGGTCAGTCCGTATAAGTTGGCCCCTTCTTAAAGCTCCAACTATACGAGGTGGAAAAAAATTCTAATATGGAAATTGTAGGGTTTCATGTGTACCATCTTTTGGCATTCCTTGAATGAACAATGACGAATCACATAATGGAAAAATAGTTCCCAATCAGTTTTTCTTTAAAGAACACCCTGTATATTTTCAACTCAATTGAAAGATATTCTTTCCTGCTCACAAATATATATATAGTTTGCTAATATCTCCCTACGCCATTTTCCCCTTATTCAGCATTGACTCAAAGTTGCCATTATCATTTAGATTGTTGTGGACATGCACAACAGAAATGCCATAAAAACAAAACAGGCATATTTTGACATCTCTTGTCAGATTTCCATCAAAAATGGGTTATTCCGTTAAGGCAAAATACGAGATGGTGAGATTACATGCGCGCATGAGCTCGAACATAAGAAAACTATATATTTTTGTGAACAAAAAAGTTGGAAATACATAGGGTGAAGATAAATATTTTTCGATTCTTTTTCAAAATATTTAGGTTTATTCCCAAAATCTTAGGATATTTTCTCAAGATACTATGTAGGTGACCACTAGAAGCACTCAAATGTGCATCAAAATATATGGCATGCCATTTAAAAAAATATATAATATTGATGTCACACTTCTTTGGGACACCCTTTATAATCGAAATTTGTTTCCTTGTATGCGCCCTGAGATACAATTGAAGTCTGCAAAATATCAAAATCAACTGATAACTGAGCTATAGAAGACCGTAGGTGAGATGCAGAACCCTGCATCAACTTTTTGCTTTTTGGTCTGGTATTTTATAGGTATCAACTAGTTAGTGATAGTAACCAGAATGTGAAATAAACAATAATAACACAATTTTTGTTTTCAGACATTTTACTTATTCATTTTCAATCCGGCATTGTATAAAATCCCTGACTACAGATATATCATCGCATATAATATATAATTATGTAACATATCGTGAACTATAGCCGCATTCCTCAATAGGTAGGTATGGTCCATAGTATAGTTAAAACATTATGAAGTTCTGAAAAGTAAAATTATTAAAGAACTTTCTACCCAGTAGATAATTATGTATGGGAACATCATAAGCTACCATGTTCTCACGGGATATGCTGAGACCGCTGACGGATGCAGAATCAGTTTACGCTTTGCAGGAAACGAGACGTTCACCGACTAGTTCTCATCAGATTTGACATAGACTTCACACAGTAAAGACGCATTGTAATTTTCTCTCTAATAAAACTTCGATATTTTTGTGTTCAATAAATAAATTCATTTTTTAAAAAGCTTTTGGTGATAACCAAAAACATAAAGTGGCGCAGTCGGTAGGATACTGAACGGGCATTCATCGTGAAAATCCCGTCGGTTTTCAAGCTGTTTATTCAGAGGACCTCCGCAGTGGAAAACCCTGAAGACTTCGAGTACCTGATGAAGACCATCAACACCATTCTAGTATTGTAAGTTGCTTTCCTTTTATTGTCTATGTCATTCTCCTCGTCCTTGCCTGATTCTATTGCAGAAAATAGAGCGAACGAGTTAGATTTACGTTTAAATTTAGATAGTGAGATAAGCTCAATTTTTGAAACTTTATCACTAGTAGAAGATACTGAAAGTCAAACTAATTTACCTTCTAATTTAGTACCTAACGATTCAATCATGTCAGTTGTTCCAAATTTCGAATCGAAATTATTAGAAATAGTTCCAAAATTTGATGGCAATCCGCTGGAATTATCATCATTTTTAGAAACAGCAAATACAATCATAAATACATATTGGGATCCAAATCCTGCTAACATAAATTGTGTTCAGAATACGACTATTATTTACGGAATTTATTCCAAATTAATAGGTAAAGCTAGAGAAGTTTATAGCATTTGCATTGCCAAAGATTGGCAATCCGTGAAAAGCGCTTTGGTTGCCCATTTCGGAGACCAAAGAGACGAAAATGGACTTTTGTTTGATTTAGATCAGTTGAGACAACAAAATAATGAACCTTCTTTACAATATTATACAAGAGTTATGTCTAACTTGAGCGCTCTGCATAATTATATTGACACTCATGAAGTAGTTCCGCAAACGAAACATATCAAGAAAACATTTTACAATACTCATGCTTTGAAAATATTTCTTGCCGGTCTTAAAGAACCTCTAGGATCAACTATTCGAGCCATGAAACCAACTAGTCTAGCGGAAGCAAGACAATATATCATTTCGGAAAATAATATCCGTCATTTACAAAAGCCGCATCAATTTGAAAATTATAATCAGCATGCCAGAAATAGACCTCAGAGACCAATTCAAAATTTCCAACATAGTAATACGCACTTCAATAATAATTCAAATTTCAATTCACAAAATTTTGCACGTAATAATCAACAAAATATTCCAAATTTCAATCAATACCATAACTTCCCACGTGGACCTATTAATATTCAATCTAGACCAAGTCAACCTCAAAGATTTTTAACAAATAGTCAAGTTTTTGGTCAACAAAGAAATCCAACTAATGTTTGGAGACCCAATCAACAAAATTCAATTTCCCGTCCTAGACCGACGCCAATGAGTGGCATATCTCATGGCACAATTCCCCGACAAAATTCATATCAGCCTCAACGTTCGAATTTTTCGCCAGATGAACTACACAACCTTGAACCTTACAACTACCTTCCCGACTACGATATTCCCGGACCTTCTCAACAATATGAAATATGCGAATATGACGACTATTATCCTGACAATGACCCTCAATACGCTGTAGATTACTATGAACACGACTCTGAAGAAATTTCCGAGAAAACATGCAAACAGTTAGAACACAATACGAACCCAGAACAAAATTTTCAAATAGCCAAGCAAAAAGAAAACCATACATAGAAATTAATTCAATTTATGATCGTAAAGAACTGCCTTATATTGAAATTTCAAATCCACCTCTAAAATTGCTTATTGATACTGGTGCAACAAAATCATTCCTAAACCCAGAAATTGCCGAAATTCACTTTCCCGAATTTATAAGAAATGAACCATTCACAATATCTTCTATTTTTCAAACTACCTCGCGAAACTTATGTGCCGAAATACCAGCCTTTACCGAATTCAATTGCGACAAGAAAATCAAATTCTATTTATTCAAGTTCCATAACTTTTTCGATGGCCTTATTGGCTATGAAACGTTGAAAGATTTAAATGTAGATATCAAAATTTCAAATTCATTGATCAAAACTCCCACAACCAAAATTTCGTTACACATGTACGAGCCAAGAAACAAATTGCTGTTCTTTGCCCGTATTGAACCGTATTCCACAGAATCTTTTAGAATTCCCGTTGATAAAGAAAATGGCGAAATAATTATTCCTGAAACAAACTTGTCAAAATGTCATATACCCGCTTGTTTGACCACCGCAAAAAATGGTTACGCCCCTGTAGATATCCAAAATAGAACGGACTTTGTTCAAGAAATTAAACTTAACCTTCCGATCCCAGCTAGACACTTCGAAAGAAACGATTTTGAAATTTTTCATGCTTTTATTTCACCTTATGAAGAACAGAACTTGAATAAATTTGATGTAACAAATCTCATTCGTACAGAACATATGAATAGTGAAGAAAAACATCACATTCAAAGCCTTTGTAGATCCTATTCAGATATTTTTCACAGAGAAAACTCTAAATTAACATTTTCTAATCAAGTGAAACATAGAATCAAAACCGTAGACGAAATTCCTGTTTATTCCAAATCATACCGTTACCCATTCATACACAAACCCGAAGTAGAAAAACAAATCAACGAAATGCTCGACCAAGGAATTATCCGACCTAGCGATTCCCCATGGTCTTCGCCTATTTGGATTGTTCCTAAAAAGACGGACGCGTCAGGTAAAAAGAAATGGCGCATTGTCGTTGATTACAGAAAAATCAATGAGAAAACGATTGATGACCGTTACCCCCTGCCTAATATTACTGATATATTAGATAAGTTGGGCAAATGTAAGTACTTTTCAACGTTAGATCTGGCAAGTGGTTTTCACCAGATTGAGATGCATCCTGAGGATGTTAAGAAAACCGCATTTAACGTTGAAAACGGACATTACGAGTACGTTCGTATGCCTTTCGGCTTAAAGAACGCACCCGGAACGTTCCAGAGGGTAATGGACAATGTTTTGAAGGACCTGCAAAATAAATCCTGTCTCGTCTATATGGACGACATTATTGTGTTCTCAGCTTCTCTGCAAGAACACATTGTAAATTTGAAACAAGTATTCCAAAAGCTACGTGATAGCAATTTGAAAATCCAACTTGACAAATCAGAATTCCTGCATAAAGAAGTTGCTTTTCTTGGGCATATTATCACACCTGATGGAATAAAACCCAATCCCAACAAAATTAAAGCTATTCTAAATTATCCGATACCAAAGACGACCAGAGAAATAAAAAGCTTTCTTGGCCTCGTCGGGTATTACAGAAAATTCATTAAAAATTTCGCACAAATAACTAAACCTTTTACTACATGTCTGAAAAAGGGATCTCAAATTAACGTAAATGATCCATTATACATTAAAACTTTCGAAGATTGCAAGGCACTCCTAACCAATGATCCAATACTCCAGTACCCTGATTTTTCTCAAGATTTTGTTCTCACCACAGATGCTAGTAATTTTGCAATAGGCGCGGTTTTATCGCAAGGTCCTATTGGACACGATAAACCTGTTTCATATGCATCTCGCACTCTGAGTAGTTCGGAAATAAATTATTCGACTATTGAAAAAGAGCTGCTAGCAATCGTTTGGGCAACCAAACAATTCCGGCCGTACCTTTTTGGCAGAAAATTTATCATTGCTACAGATCATAAGCCACTAGAATGGCTTATGAACCTCAAAGAACCAAATTCCCGCCTGGTCCGTTGGAGACTAAAGTTGGAGGAATTTGACTACAAAATTGTATACAAGAAAGGAAAGAAAAATACTAACGCAGACGCTTTGTCACGAGTCGAAATTTATCCCACCGAAATTGGCACAAATAATTCTGACGATGACCTTCCAATCCTCCAATACATTAGACAATTCAACGAAAATCCTGTCCTAGACGAAAACCCTATCATAATTCCCGAAACCGAAAATAATCAAAATCAACCTTCAACTAGCAGAGAACCTGACAATCAATCTATTATTGCACAATTTGACCCTGACGAAAACGACGGAAACGAAACAGTACACACGAGTGCCGAAGATCCAATTTTGACAATCAAAATTTCAGAAAAACCACTTAATTATTTCCTTTATCAAATAATCATAATCAAAGTAGATAGGAATTCGCGAACAGAAATCAAGAAAATATTTGAAAATCCTGTTAGTCGTACTCGTTGGTATTTATATGTTACTAACGAGTCCTTCGAAGAACAAATTATTCAGTTTATAAAACAATATGCTGGACCAACTAGACAGTACGCATTTTTCTTCCAAAACGACGATAATGATGAATTTTTCAAACAAATGTGCAGACTTGTTCCACAAATATTCAAGAACTCCTCGTATAAATTTCTCAAATCTAACAAACTTCTTCACGATATAAGCAGAACTAAAAGACAACAAGAATTGATCAAAAGCCAACACGAAGGTATCACTAATCACCGTGGAATTCTGGAAACCGTCAATCAGCTCAGAACCCAATATTATTGGCCAAAAATGAGCGAAGATGTTCAAAAATTCATAAATAATTGTAACATCTGTCAACAAGTCAAATATGAAAGACATCCCCCTTTGATCAAACTTCAACTTACGCCTACTCCGAAAAAACCATTTGAAACAATTCATATTGACACCTTTAAATTTGGCAATTCGATATCTTTGACTATTTGTGATAGCTTTTCCCGTTTTGGACAAGCTTACATAATCCCTAGTCTTTCTGCTCTATTTGTTTATGAAAAATTATTACAATTCATCTCAACATATAAAATTCCAGAAAATATCATATCTGATAATGGCACCGAATTTACACAACACCTTCTTAGAGACTTTGCAAAAATATATAATATTAATTGGCACTACACTCTCCCTCTCAACCCTAATAGCAATTCCATTGTTGAACGATTTCATTCCACTATATTAGAACACATGCGTACTCTGACCTTGACAAAACCAAACTTAAACCCTTTCGAAAAACTCACCTTTTCAGTTTTAGGATATAATAATTCAATTCATTCGGCAACCAAACAGAAACCCATTGACTTAATACTAGGACATCTAGAGCTCAAAGATCCGATCGATATCGATCTTGACTCACGACCAATCAATCACCAGCTAAACGAACATAAAGAGATTATGGCAAATTTATACAAAACGATACACGACAAAACGGCATTACAGAAAGAACAAGTCATTAACAAAAGAAACGAAACCCGAAATGACCCACCTGACATTCAACCCGAAACTACTGGATATAGGAAATTAACAGACAGACAATTAAAGACAAACCCTAACTACAAACCAGAACACATCATCAAAAGTACTGACTTAACTGTGACTACACCTCAGAACACATATCACAAAAACATTTTCAAACCTCCTAGAAAATTCATTGACAAAACATTATTACAGGCTGACGATTCTTCCCCTAATGAAGACACAGAAAGTTCAAATTCGGAACCTCAAAACTAATCCCGGAATCCTTCCTTTCAAATTAGGAAACGCCCGCATCAAAATTGCCTCCCACACTTTCATTCATTACATACATACTGACCCTATTAAAACCCAAAGTACCTCAATTACAAACCACTACTACAGACTTGGAAAAATGATTGACAATGCTACTTCATTTTATAAACAATCATTGTATAATGCTCATAAACATTTGGAATACGAAATCAATACTTTGAACGAAAAAATCACCTCGCTATTTCCTGAAAATAGACTCAAAAGAGGACTGATCAATCCGCTTGGTTCTCTTATGAAATTTGTCACTGGTAATATGGACAACGAGGACGCCAATGAAATTCATAATAGCATTTCCGAGCTCGAAAATAGCCAAAATAATATTATAAAGAAGGTAAACAAACAAATCTCTCTCGCTAAAGAACTTATGTCGAATATAAATGATACTTTGTCCAAAACAATTCAAAATCAAAATGAAATAGAAAACAAATTTGAAGAGTTGAGAACTGTTCTAAATAAAACACAATTCAATTACGCACACTACTTAGGAATTCAAGACATTCTTAGCCAAATCAAAATAAACGCTGACCTTTTATTGCATTTTTTGTCAGAACTTGAAAACGCTATAAGCTTCGCTAACTTAAAAGTTTTACATCACAGCATTATTTCCCCTGATGAATTAAAATCCGTAATATCTCAATTACATCAGTCACATAGCGAATCTCAACTACTATTTTCTTTGTCAGATTACCTAAAATATTACGACATTGTTCGAACCAGTGTTTTCTACTCGAATAGGAAAATAATATTTTCGCTCGATTTTCCGTTAGTTCATTCCGAAACCTTTGACTATTACCACCTATATTCTATTCCAAACCAAAACCAGTCAATCATTATACCTCCCTCGACATACCTATCCTTAAGCAACAATGAATACCAGTACTCAGATGAAGAATGTACCGAGCTACAGCCAGGATTCCTCTGCAAGAAGAACCACCTACTACCACTTCGACAAAACCCCGATTGTATCACGTCACTGCTTTCTGTCGAAAACAGCATTCAAAATTGCCAACAAGTCCCAGTACGAGTATCTCAACACATCATAGAAGAAATCAATGAAAGCCACTACATAGGAATATTTCCCGAGAACGAGAAGATACAGATTTTCTGCGAAGAAAACGACGTTGCCATACTTCGTGGAAGCTACCTATTCATAGTCCCGCCAGATTGTGGAATCAAGACATCGGAATACACGTACAAAAACGAAAAAGGCCTAATAGTAGGACATCCAATGACGCTAGAAGAAATTCGTGAAACCAACATTCCAATACTACAAGTCAAGACACTTAAGCTAGAAAAAGTATCTCTTGACAAGTTGCACGAACTTCAACTGCAAGAGTTAGAAGAAGCACCATTACAAGAAGTTAGAATTCATTCCGATCATTCAAGATGGTCCTTAACAGTCACCCTATTCCTGGTTACCACGATGTTAGTCTACTTATTAGCCACCCACCGAAGAAAGATAGCAAGCCTAGCCAAACGAGTAGTCTGTTCCACGCCAGAAGAAGACACTAGGGTAGCAGTCAACGCAACTCAAGTGGTTCCACCCTCGAGTTCCTTCTAAGGGTGGAGGAATTATGTATGGGAACATCATAAGCTACCATGTTCTCACGGGATATGCTGAGACCGCTGACGGATGCAGAATCAGTTTACGCTTTGCAGGAAACGAGACGTTCACCGACTAGTTCTCATCAGATTTGACATAGACTTCACACAGTAAAGACGCATTGTAATTTTCTCTCTAATAAAACTTCGATATTTTTGTGTTCAATAAATAAATTCATTTTTTAAAAAGCTTTTGGTGATAACCAAAAACATAAAGAGATTCACAAATACCGAGTGGTCCAATAGTCGATGCCTATAGTCATACGGATCGAGATCAGAAAAATTCCATTTCTTCACATTAGTGTTCTTAAAATACAATGATGAAACGCGGAACATTGTTGATTGATTATATCTTTCTCATAAGAATATCTCCGCAATCATTGATATTTCGATCGAAAATCCTTGTTAAAATCAAAGTTAAAATGAAGTTTCATTAGGAGAATGAATATTTTGAGAAATATCTGTGATTCCTGCTTTTTCAAAAATACAGAGCTGATACACACTATAGTATCAGAAAAAATATTGACCAAGGTGTCTTGTTCCATTGTTATGTTGATATGTTTTGTTATGCTTTGTTATGTGAAAAACTGGAATTTGAAAAAAAACTATAAAACTCAAACACGTAAGACTTTCTATCAACCTCCGGAACACTCTGCATATAACAAGGATATAACTCACATTGGGATTCTTCTGGTAAGTACATTTCACCATATCGTATATTCTGTCCTCTAAAGGTGTGACTTCTGAAAGAAAAACATTGCCATCCCAGGTAGGTTACTTCTAGGATCCAACAAGTACAGTCGTCTTCAGCGAACATGTCGCGGTTGGACGGTATGAGCGCTCTTATTGCAGTAGTGATCAAGGGAGCTGACACCGTCCATGTGCGACATGATCTCTGAAGACAACTGTACCTATGATATATTATCTTTTATTACAATACGAATGCTGAACTCGATATCTGGAATCTTTGTTTCTAATGAGTTACACACGATTCAGGAAAAACTTTGATAGGAACATTTTACTTTCGGTCTTATTCTGACTCACCCTTCATAATTATACTTGAACAGATTATGATAATCTCCATATTATATATCATTATATACAGGGTGTTTCATAATTGAATGCTGATCCTTAAGGGCGATAATCCTTGAATAATTACAAAGAGAAAAGTTCATATTAATATATGTCCTAAACCTCTTAGTTATTGAGCTACAGGGTGATGAAATTTCAAGAAAAAAATGAGTTTTTCATCATAATTTTTTATCACTCTTAGATATTGTTATGATATTCTGTATACACCTTTTCATCATTAAGGAGCATTTTTTTACGTGAAAGATATTTGAAAATTCTAACCAGTGGCGTCCGTACGGGGTTTGAACTGACAATTTTTGAAGAAAAAAATAGTACGCCACTGATTTTTCTGAGAACCAGATTTTTTTTCCAATTCTCATTCATTTTGGAGTAAATTTGGTTCCTAGACTTACTTTCATACAACGTACCGTTTTCACGTAAAAAAATAAAAACCAAAGAATTTTGTTCCTTCAGTTCTTGGATATTGTTTTTGGTAATTCAGTAGACACCCACTATAAGTGGAAACACATTTTGTTTTGGGACGAAAATCAAACTTTTACTTTTACCAGTGACCATAGACCTGATATTTTTTAATGTTTTGTTTAAAAAAACGCTGTACGCTTCTGATTTCAACACCCTGTAGCTCAAAAACTAAGAGGTTCAGGACATATGTTGATATGAACTTCTCTCCTTAAAATCATCCAAGGATCATCGCCCTATAGGATCAGCATTCAATTATGAAACACCCTGTATATATAATATATTCAGATTTCAGGGTGAGTCAAAAATGAGTACCGAGCTTTCTGGAGGTGATAGTACGTTAAAAAATTAGTATATACTTCGGAAGATAAACTCATGGCTCAAAATGCATATCATAGATTAACGGGGGAGTCGTTAATCTATGTGCATATTAAGGGAGAGATATCCTTCCAAAGTTGATTAAATTTAAATAATTTTTCCGCATAACTTCTAAAGGGTGGGAGCAACCAGATTGAAATTTCCAGCATGAATATATGTTAATAAAATACATTTTTCTGATATACACTTCTACATTTCTGATATTGTTATAAAGGGTGTTTTTAGGGGATAGGTCATGCTTTTTTGAATACAACTTTTTTCCTCGTATTCTTTTTGGTGCAAAAATGAAAGCGAATTTTCCCACCCCTAGTCGGGACCGACCTGTAGTATAAATCGATTCTTTCAACTTATTCTCTATGTAAAGTTGTGCAAGGCTTAAAATCAAAAATGCGATTATTAAATAATATCATATTTCTTCAGTCATGTACGAGATATGTAAAAAAATATTGATTTTGTATCGACAATTATTATCGAGGAGAGTTGAAAAAAATTGGAAACTACGTTCGACATCTACCTATCCACGATCAAAATCAGGTTTTTTCATTTAGTTCTTACCTGATTTGGCCCAACATTCCTCGACATCTTTCGGAAATGAAGATTTCACTTTGGGTGGACACAATTTTGCCCCCAATTCGATATTCAGCTCACCGTTTTTACCTATCTGAAATAAAATCAATTCTTTATGTACAGGGTTATCCATCGAGAAGACCCATCACCCATATATTCACCTTATTTTTTATCGAGAGAAAGAACAAACGATATGCGGAAGTTCAATGCCACAATGAGGCCTTTCCACAGATTTAATCTGAAGTTTCACAGGATGATCCCTAAAAGCGTGACAAACTACAAATTGATTATTTCAAACGAAACACCCTGTTTTTCTCTTAATATGTGATTTATCGTGATCACAAAAGTATATATATATTCACAGTATGATATCTTATATTCTCACTTCATTATCTCCACTTTTTTCACGCCAGAAAAACATTTTTCTCTGATTAATCGGTGATCACTCAATCAGTTTGGGAATGTATTCGATTATGATGCAATATACAAGTGTTAAATATATCCTCATTCATTGGTAAATAATTTAACGAATAAAGTATATTGAATATGGTGACAAGTGAGGATATTTTAACATAGATATCAATAAAATAGTATGTTCAAATATGGAATGAAATAACTAAAGCTGCCCCGTCTTCATATGCCGTTTTGTACCTCTCAATCGCAGGGACTCGGCTCTGATTATGGACATTTGCCCTTGTATGCGAATCCACCCTATTGTTTGAGAAAACGGCTTCTTCCATTTTCGTGATAACGTATCTGCTAAACGTTTCTGAAAAACGGCATATTCCTGGTGTAATACACCTTCAGCAAAACAAATCAATGGAGTGAAGCTAGATTAGATTGATATGGGGCTCATGTGCTACTAGGAGCCTCTCCACTGCGACCTTCACAGATCTATTGTGTGTGCCCTCATGTTATGTTAGAGTTCCTTGTCTAAACCCATCCTTATCACTAGACTCCATAGGCCAGACCTCAGGTCCTCCATATATTGAGAGGGCTGTGGTTTTTCCTCCCCTATCGTCGAAAACCTTAGCCTATTCAGGCCTTCGCAGTAGCACAGTATATGTGCTGAGGTTTCCTCATCTTCTTGGCAAAACCTGCATATGGTTGCGTCCGCCAATCCGATGTTGTTCATGTGTTTGTTGAGTCTACAGTGCCCTGTCAGGAGCCCAACCAAGATCCTTGTTGTTATCCTATTCTGGCTTAGTAGGTACTCCGTGAATTTTGGCAATGGTTCTTTAATGAACTCTTTGGCCTGTCTCATTCCCGGCGCCTTGTTCCACCATTCTCGAGACTGCTTCTTCATCCAAGTGCTGTTATTTGTTCTTTGCAGCGCTTTCGCTATACCACAGAGAGGTTCTGGACCGATAGGAGCACATCTTGCTCCTTCTCGGGCTAGTGAGTCAGCCTCTTCGTTGCCCTTGTAGCCTGTGTGGCCTGGAGTGAAGCTAGATCTGATGTCTTCTGCTGCACTGTCATATTTTCTATGCTTTTGCTCTGCATGATTATGGGCGATGGTATGCCAGCTTTGGGAAATATAAGAGGGTGCGTCGGCATTAATTATATCGAAAAACGCAACTCTTTCAGATTCCCAGACACCATTTATTTTTATGTCAGCATAGAGGGTAGGAACATTGATGATGGGGTCAGCCTCTCGAAGAACTGGCTCTAAGTTAAAGCCATTCGAAGCTAAATTTACTGCGACATATCCATATTTCATCAAGCAATTTAGTGCGTGCGATAAATTCATTTCTTCTCCACATCCATCACATGAAACAGGCATATCATCTAGTGAATGTCCATAACGGAGGGCTGAAGCATCTCTAAATTGGGTTGGTGAAAAATCGAAATTATCAGCTGCAGTAGGTAAAACAGTCAACCATTGACTAGCAGCCTCTTCCACAATGCGAGTAATTGGTAATACGATATCTGTAGAAGCCAACACAAACAATTTGTTTTTCTGGGGTAAATAAAAGTGGAGAAATGAAGAAATGAAGTGGAAATAGGAAATATCATACTGTATATATATACTTTTGTGATCACAAAGAAACAGGGATTTCGAAGAAAATATAAAAAACAGGGTGTTCCATTTAACAAAATCACTTTGTGGTTTGTCCCTCTTTTAGGGATTACCCTGTCAATTTTCTGATAAGGGCTGTGGAAAGAATTCATTGCGGCAATCAACTCCTGCATATCGTTTGTTTCAATCCGATAAAGAATAAAGTAATCGTGTGGGCCTTCTCGATGGATGATAACCCTGTAGCTTTCATGTTATGATGTGAATAACAATGTCATGCAGTTTTGCTATAATCAACTTAATTTAAACACAGTGTATGCAATTTCAACCCACAAAAAAACAAATATCCCCTAAACCCAACAAGCTCTCTTCGAAAATATTGACAAATCTGGAATTTAGATTCTCAAGCCCAAGAATTTCGATAACGTCTATTAGGCTTTTCGAAAAAAATTGATAGATTATTTGATTCAAGCACGGTTTAAAGACCCTTTAAAAATGTTATGGCTATACCTCATATAGCATTTTAATTTCCCTCTATATAGAAATTTATATATATATAGATATATGGTCAATCAATAGAAGAACACCTATATATTCAGATACGAAAACGAACAGAAAGTGAAATTCTGAATAATAAATAATCAAAGTCTTTTGCACCAATGTTCATGAACACAACTGGTAGATAACGAGAGAAAACCAACTACTTTCCTGATATGCCACGCAGCACATTGAATTACTTCCTCCCGAAATCTTTACAACGATTTGTATAGACGAATGAGATCGCAAGTATTTCCTTCATAAATGCTGTATTGTGCTTTTGTTCAGGAATGCTTGACTACCTACAGATCGGTTTCGAGCTTTTGGCTCTCATCAGTGCAGGGGTATCCCAAGATGGCATTCATGACCGTCATGTCCCAGATAGCACAAGACGTCTTTAAGATGTCTGAATTATATCCTATCTTAGTCTGTACGTCTTACTCCCTGAATAAGACGTCTACAAGATGTCATCATTCAGACGTTTCAAAGATATCTGATTCTCACGTCCTGAATACGTCTTAAAGACATCGTAATAATACAAATAAGCAATAATGATATTTGGTATATATTATAATAAGTATTAATAATAATGACTTTTAGTGTGTCATATCTGAACGTTCTCCACTCTCAGAATTCCTGAATTCCACACTTAGTTATGGTTCTATTCTCATAATATGCGTTAAACTTCTAATAAAAAATATTCATATTGATTCAGGCTAATAGAATATTTTCAATTTCATAATTTTTATAACTTCACCGTAATACATAGAGGTTATATAGATTGTTCAGAGTAAGTTATTTTATAAATCGGGTGGGATGATTTGAAAATACCGCCATGTCAAACGAAAGAGAGATCGTAGCGCCAGAGCCAGAACGGCGAATGCCAGTACTATTTGATTGTGAACATTTTACATTGTTTGGTTTTGGTGATGGTGTTTATTGAGAGGTGTGTTTATGTTAATTTCGTTTTGAGTTCTCAATCATTCTCAGCTTTGATATTTGTGTATTTTTTAAATCCGTGTTTTCCAGTGGTTCATTGTGTTTTGATTGAGGACAATAATATCTCTGATGTTTAACAGTAGAACACCTACCTACCTCTAGTTGGAATGTTGAACATAAAACCTATACCAACATAATGATATGCTGTAAGTTTTTATCATTATTGAACAAGAATTCTTATGATTTGGCCATTTAGCCTGTGCATTTCAATCTGTCTACACTTTTTCAGTGATTCAGTGTCTCCAAAATGAAGCTGAGCTCATAAATGCGGGCCACCTGGTTTTGGCTGGTCAAATGGATGCAAATGATTGCATTGAAGTATAATAAGTATTATGCCATATTATGTTTACAGTCCACTGTGTGTGTCAGGTAAGAAGAACTCTCCCTAATATTGATATTGGTAAACTCCTGAAACTCAACTCTATATCATTGTTTTCAGGAAGAATGTGGGATCTTCCAGAGATATAAATATGCTTGGTTGAGACAAAAAGCAATCAACAGAGGGACTAATACAATCAGTATTCCTGTAGATGAGATGCCCTGTTTTAAGAAAAAAATGAAGAGACCAGTTATATGAAACATAATGAATATTCTCAATTTTCCTATCACAAACAGGGTGGACGAGCAACTTCTTTTCTGGAAATGTCAAACCTGTCCTTGGTAGTTGTACTTTTCAAATAAATGTCACAAAGATCAACTATTTATTTGTGTTGTATGTACCTACATGTTTGCTTCATAACTGGCACTTTGACTTGAAAAACATAGGAATGAAAACAGTTATTGAATAATACTTTTAACATACAAATACTTCAAATTTCACTTTAATTAATCCCCAGAGGAACCATGAAATCCATTCAGAAATGATGTCTTTCTCATGTCTTTTCTATGCCTTTATAAGACTCAGAAGAGACATTATAAAGATATCTTAAAGACGTCGTGATTTTTAACATCCGGCCTATAGAGGACGTCTTTCAGACGTCTCTAAGGCGCCCATAGACGTCTTAAAGACGTTGTGAACGTCTGAGAACGATGTCTTTAGGATGTCTTAAAGATGTCTTTGTGCTATCTGGGGTGATGTGAACCTGACCCAACGTCAACACATTCCAGTACTTAATACCCACGAGGCGTTCGGTGTCTGCCAAATCCACCAGAGTAGAAGAAATAAACAATCCAAAACGAATTTCCATTTCAGATAAAATGGGAGTGGCTGATTGCCCGACTGGCGTAATTCCTACTTCAAAAAAGCACAATGCACAAAGTGGGAAACAAAGTTCAATGAATTCATTCTAAACTCAAAATCATTCTACTCAGGTGGCGTTCGTGTTTATCTCGTAGATGCCGAACGCCTGGTGGGTCGATTTTGATTTTGATTGTCAACCGGTTGGTCAGTATTCTATCAGCACATCCATTGTTGCAAAAGAAAGTGAAATTATTTGCATGCCCACAACAGTTAGAAAAAAATATTACCACTGATATCCCACTTTTATACCGAAATAACAATAATTGAAGGTCAAATGGAAATAGAATTGGTACAAAAAGGATAGATTACTGAAGTTTATCGTCTGTAGTCTATGCAAAAAGTTCTTATTTTTCAATACCATTGTAAAATTTATGTTAAGCCGGTTTAGTACTTTTGGTGAACTACTTTATGGGCTACGTAAATATAAGCGGTGTAGGACTCGGTGGTTATAATCTAGGTGAAAATTCCTTCAAAATGAAATGTCATATTCGACCCATCTATCCATTTAAGTTTTTGGGGGTGAGTCTCACCTCCCCTATAGACTTGCCGTTCAGGGAGAAACTGGCGAACTAATTTTTTCCCATAAAATGAAAAAATCACATGCCTTTTTTTCGTAAATGACCGGATGGGGTTCCTATAGAATTGGCTCTATTTTGTTTTCAAGTGGCCACCCTGTAGTTATGTAATATGCAATGAATATGACTCATAATATATTGAAAATACTCACTATGGTAGATTCAAGCCATACACAGGAAACGTATTTCTGGAAAAAATATATAATATATATTATAACTATACGTCGTATATCTATCTATAAGCAATTATGATTTTGCTCACTTTGATTTTTGCCTCGTCAAGAAATTCTCCAGCTGAAACTTTATCAATCATTTCTTGAGTAGTTCCTGATGCTTTAATGCAAGTATTATGCAAAATTTGAGAGAGAGCCAAAAATTCTTTTCCATAATCCTGTAAAGAACATTTTGATGATAATACCTATCATTATTGAGTATTTTGTTCTTTAGAATCGAGAAAATCCTACTCATTCGTAATTAAAATATATCTATAGACAAGCTGACTTTTTTTTATGTTCCCACGAAAAGGGATATCCTGTAATGTTCAGAGAACATCGTGAGAATCAAGGGAAATAGGGTAGGAATTGGTGTTCTTCTTAAATTTCTGGAGGTTATATGCCTCGGGGAGCACCTCCCTTGGCAATGTGTTCCAGATCCTCGCTGTTCGTTGGATGAACGAGTATTTGGAAAGAGATGTTCTGCAGATCTCCAAAGTGACCACGAAGACCGGTTGCGAAGCCTCAACTCGACGGGTTAATCCGTTACCACCGATACAACTCGCGGGGACTGCCAATAAAAGGGAGGAACAATTGTTGATATTTCAGAAGAGCATGAAAATATCTATAAAATAGAGACAGACCACCAACTTTTCTACGGTGTTTTGGATTTGTTTTGGATTCGTGGTAAATAATAAGTATGTATTTTTTATCATTTGAAACGTTTCGCATATGGCCAAAAACCCAAGAATCGTCCCTCCCCAAAACCATATAGAAGGATTCAAGAATGCATAAGAAAAGTAACAAATAGCAATGGGTGAAAATATTGCTGCTGCCGCACAAATTGAAAAAGCCTATGGCCATAGGCGAAACGTTTCAAATGATATAAAATACATACTTATTATTTACCACAAATCCAAAAAAGCAAGAATCGTTCCTTCCCAAAAAGCTATTTTTATATTTTGACACTTATTTAATATTATAATTACCCCTATAGCATTATAAATCTTAAGTTAATCACATACACTTATAAATTGCATGATATTTCGGCACACTCTGTTTAAAATATTTTACAAAATAAGTAATAAACTTACATATAGCTAATAATGATATGTATAAACCAAAAAAGGACAATACTTTATCTGAGCCAGATCTAATTACATTTTTTATATAGGTACCTCTGTTATAACAGTTTGTTTCTTACGTTCAATTTTCTTATTTGTTTTGTATTTTTGTTATTCGAGTTTACTATTCGTCCCTGTTTTAATATAGGCACTCAAATCTTATATGTAGGTACCTAATTAAGAATATGATATTGTTTTTGATTTATTATTTTGTTGGAAATAGGTTACTTCTCTGTTTACTTAAAGTGCATAATGTTTCGACGTCATAGGTTCATTTCAATATCCTTTCTTGGAATGGGCTTTATATCACAAAAAAATGTTATTTCATAATTCGTTAGAACTCACCCAAACTAGCTCACCACCGCAAACCGTTTCTTGCTGTGAGCTCCCTACGTTTTATAAAAAAATATTGAAAACCCCGATTTTTCGGACCTCTGAAAACAAGGCGATGATGTGACGTCAAAGTCAAAACAAAGTCAAAACCCTAATACTGAAACAAGACTATTCCAGACAGAGATGAATGATACATGATTTCTGACAGAGTGAATTAGAGCGAGATCACAGTTGATAGAATTAATATATCAGTTGCCTCAGTCTCCGTCGGGCGTTTGGTATTTTCTTTTAACTATGGCGAGATGAGGTTTCTACGTCATAAGAGGGCCCGTTTTCAGAAGGTACTATTATTTATGTTCAAAAATAAAACATTCCAGTTAATTTTTCGATCGAATTATGTCGTCAATCATTATTTATGTGTGAAAGGATCATTATAAATATGGTTTGAGTTGAAAGTTCTAGTAATGTGTACACGCCCACTGGTTTACCATACAATAGATCTAAAACAGGCAGATCTATTGAAATCTAATAACAAGGTATTTACTGATGGAATAATGGAATGAAAATCGAACAACAACTGTCATTTGCTGTTGTCAAATTAATTATTCATAAAATCCGATAGATCCCACGTGTGAATAGGACCGTGATGTGGATGTAAGTGTTTGAGGTCGACAAAAAAATTTAATATGCACCTCGGCGGAAAACTGTCTGTTGTCTCGCCTGATTGCTAGACTCGGCCTCGGCCTCGGCAGTCAATTTGCAGACTCAACTATAAAAGACAGTATTTCGTCCTTGATACATAAATAACTATTATAACAATATTTTTGGAATGTTTATCTTTGCTGAACGTTCTCATGAGTACAACTGATGGAGTGATGGTTTCTTCCATACCTATATGTATACGAATTCCTACATCCTCCAGATGAATAAAGAATGAACAAATCTGTTCTCGTAAAATTATTTTGTAGATATATCTACAGGATGATTTTCAACTGAAAATTCTCTCGCATTTATTTGAACTCTCACTATACTCACCGATTTACTCAGACTTGGTGTAACTGGAGTTGAAATAAAAACAAGAAGTGCACTAAACATAATGAATATATTCTTCATTATTTGATTTGTATTTCCAACTTCGATGATTAATTGAAACTCGGACACGCTTGGATTCATGTTTTATATACGAAAATGAATATTAATTATATTTATATACTTTAATATGACCGTATAATGGAAGCACTTCAGGTAGGTATGGAATACAGAGTGAAACAAATTAGTTTTTCCTGTGACGGGAAAAAAGTTTGTTTCATCTCTGTTGGCAGGTTATCAAATATCACTTTTCATAAATTACTTTTTTCCCGTGGGAAAACAGTGAGTACTTTTTTCCATCTCCGAGAAAGAACTGCAAGTCCTTTTATCTTCCATTCGACTTCGCGGTTACGTAAGTATATTACTAAACAACCACTAATTTCGTAATTTTTTGAAATCAAATCACAGAATTAGACAGACAGAAGTGACATCAGATATTTGATTACTTCAAAAGAATTATGAAGATGCCTACAACCCAGGTGTCCCTACTGTTGAAAACTTGAAATTTCACGTCGATAATTCTCAGATTTCAAAATAATGTAACATCTTTTCAATATTGATTCGTTAATTCTTCTGTCACAGCAAAAAATAGTGCATTATACACGGGAAAAATATCAGATTGTAGCTCACGGCACGACAACACAACCTGGAGCTAAATTCTACTACTTTTTTTTCCTTGTATAATAAATAACTATTCTATCAACTTATATGCTATTTCAATCTTTGCAAAATCGTATTCATTGATGTAGATCAAAATGAACATCATTTCTCGTTGTAACTTCGGGTCTTTCAATAAGGAAATAAATTGGATAAAGATTACATATGCCGATTAATATTCTATATCAGCCACAGAGAGTTCGAACTCATCGTTTCGGCTTCGAGTCTCCTTCATCAACTTCATCAATTCATTTTTTTCATTAAATTTCTTGGTCTTCTCTCCTCTGTTCTGAATGATAAAAATTTCCCGGATCGCCTTGTATGATTTTGGTTGATCAATGATCATAACATGTTATATTTGCGGGAGGTTTCCAGGACGAGGGAATAACGAATTTTTGTTTGGTATCATGCAAGCAGTTTTTGCAGAAGAATGAGAACCATTGGAAATAAAGCCAAGTATTCAAAGCTTCTCGGCACAATTCTGTTTCCTTGAAACCCAAAATCTATCGTGGGAGATATTGGACATGAAAATTTCCAACATATGGTTTATTCTCATCGATCATTCATGGCCTTCCGATTGTCGAAATGGTGTGTATACAGGGTGAGTCATGAGGAACTGTACATACTTCTCCACGAATAGAGGCCCCTGAAGGAAATACCTATAATGACTATCAGACTGTGTCTTCTCCCAGACAGCACAAAGTGGTTTTAATAACGTTCCTAGGATATTTCTGTAGAACATTTCGAATCTTCTCACAATGTTCTCACAAGGTGCACTGAAAATTCTGAGAATACTCTATCAGAACATGCAAATGGAACGAAAATGCACGTTCCAAGAACGTTCTCATAATACTTTTCAGAACATTCTCAGGACATTCTATGGAAATATAGAACATCCATCCTCAAAATATAGGCATATTCTCAGTATACAGGGTATCTTGAAAGCGCATGGAAATTATTTCAAGGAACGTTATAGGAGAAAAATATATGTTTATAATTTTATGTTCCAAAAGTGGCCATCAGAGGGTGATATTTATTACACACTCTTCGAAAGAACATCACCCAAAAATTAGAATTCACATTGAACCCCATTGCTACCGCAGATGAGAATGACAAGTTTTATGAGAATCATAAAAATAGATTTTGAATAATCGATGAAAAATAGATTTTTTCTGAAAATGTTGACTATCTCAAAAACGAAGCAAGTTATGACATGTTTATAGGAAACAAAAATGTTTCTCTTTCCTAGAGTATCTGAAAACCATATTCCATATGTTTATACCTGGATAACAAACATATATATAGAATATTCGATGATTATTCCTGAATTACATGTATTGGATATAATAAAATATTATAGGAACGTTCCTATATAGGATATTAACATGAAACATTCCATCAATATTTTTGTGAAACACTATATGAACATTCAGAACATCCTCATCATATTTTTTTTTCATACAAAAAGTTACGACTAGAAGATGTTTTCGCCTAAATCCCTATATATTAGTGAAGAAGTTGAGAAGACAATGTTCTGATGGTCATTATAGGTATGGTGGACTGGGTATTGTACTTCTATATTTTATATAGAATGAATATATTGGTTTTCGAATCATTCGAGTTTTCTATATCAGCTTCGACTTTATATTTCTTGAGTAATGCACCTTTCGAAGATAATTAAATAAATTGATTTTTTTTTATTTTGATTTAAATTCAAAATAGCTGTTGGATCAGATGATCAGAATTGGAATGAGGGAAAATCATGTGATTAATCATTCGTTCAGTTCGTCCTGAAACTCTCGATGAATCGATTGAAATATCCAACTCGAATTTATTATTCCATGTACCACCCTGAATAAACCACCAATATCTTGATGTTCGTGAGATGTTAATTATAGATAGACAGATAATAATCGATCTCTATTATCACGACAGATATTATTGATATAATGATGGTTCATCAGGACATACTAATCGATGTTTCACACAGTCCATAGTTCATCATTATAATTATTACATTTCACATTCATATTTTCATAAATGAACGACAGGACTGATGACTCTGCTAGAAGTTGTAGATAATAGCGTCATCATCAGGAGCTCAGTGAAATATAAAATATAAAATTCCACGTGTCCGAGCGTGTTATTTGAAATTTTCAGATGTAATATCCCTACGACATTGATAATAGACGAGATAATTTTATGGCTATCGAAAGCTTGGCCTGCGGCCTCGGGCTGTTACCAAGAAACGAGCTTGAGAAATTTGTCATAAAATTATGAGGCATTTGCCAATGTGCGAAGGATATTCGGCGGAAATTTTTTTGTTAAAAAATGTATAACTCAACAGGACACAACGAAACATTTATTTATTTATTAAAAGTAGAGGTGGTGAAAGATCTATTACCACGCATAACATTTATGATCTTGTTGTGGTGTTCTTGATCTAGATTAAGGTATGGTTTTATAGAACTTTGATTGCTATGAACAGTAATTTTCAGCAATTGTTGTTCTCCTACACCACTCTTTGCTAATTCGCTCACAGCAGTAGATCTATTCGAGCGATTTGTTATCTTTTTGTCCTTCACATTCAAGTCAATTGCCGCAGTAGCAGATTTAGTCCATCCATCTATTGTTTTGATTTGATTTCAAGAACAGTCCTGTCGAGGTAATATTGTCCCCTCGTTTTGATATTAGTTTATGAAAAAGACGTACTGGGCAGCTGTGTATTTCGCTATTGGAAATCAACCATTTACTACTGCTTGGCACGTTTTACTGAAAACCGGATTGTATTCAATGCGATTTGTTGGAGAGTCATCGTTATTTTTCTCGCATTGAAAGAAATCGACCAGACAAGCAACTGCCTCTCCTCCTCGCCACGCTAATTCTACAGCAGCAATATGGTAAAATTTACGCATGAGACCTTCAGGAGTATTTTCATCTCATAGCAATACTATTTTGTTAACTTCAGACAAATTTAACGAAACTGAACTCGACTTGCGTTTACATGGATGCATGTAGTTTTTTCCTGATTGCATCGCGGTCATCCCGTGCTGGTTTAAATACTATATTGTTAAACGGGTCAATCATAATATTATAGTCATTATAATACTTTTCTTGCAAAAGTTTGCACGAAACGTTCCACATTGTCTTCACCGTCGCTTCTTTATATTCGGTCCCGTTTTTCTTTCTCATATCGGGTCGATTCTGTTTGCAAAAAGCAATATGGTTGTAGGGAAGATATTGCTATCATAGCAAGATTCGAAAAAGTGGAATTCTAATCATCGATTTTTGGCAATATGACCATGACCTGTCAATTTCAATGACATCTGGTCAGCTTTCTTGCTATCTCGGCAACATCAACTTTGTGCTTGGTATCTTATAACAAGGTAGTGGATTCTTTGTTTTTGCACTACAAATTTTTCCAAGTGTATGAAAATTCAGAAAATAGTGGATTTGAAACATATGAGAGTTCAGTTGTGTCACTGACTACTCGAAAACTTTTCCTCAAAGTTTCAATTCGTAGAAGAATTATTGAAAAACATGAAATGTTGATTACAAACATATAGGATGAGTTCACTACTGTGACCAACTACTTGAAAACCTTTTCTTGAAGTTCCAATTTGTAGAGGAAATATCAGACTACAATTCCGGCATATCAGAGAAATTTCAGTTGCCTGATGGATGGTTTATCAAGCTATTTTGCAATAATATTTAAAAAAAATCACGAATATTTTCATCCAGCTTTTAGTTGTTTTCTCATTTCGGGGACATGATTGATTACTTGCACCAGTCGCACAACGACGACCAGATTCAGCAAATACAAAATCTCTCGATTGGAACAATATAATTTTGTAAAATGTCAGTGCAGGCCTGACTAATTTGAGAGGTTAGATAATCATGAACTCTTCTTCTTCATGAAATAATGGCAAAATCGATATCAAACACCAAACACTTAAACAATGAGTTGAAAACAGTGTTGTCAGCTCAAAAATTCTCAATTTTTCAACAATCTTTGCTATCACTTGTTCTTATAACCAGTCTTGCAGTTACTCCGCAAACAGAATACAGAACTTCATAGCAATATTGTTATATGTAATGATCATAACAATATTATTATCTTAGCAATGTTATAACAAGATCCGAACAGAATCGACCCGATTGACTGCCCAATCTTTTAGTATCAACGCCAATTATTCTAAGCTTCTATGCTCATTTAATTCTCGTTCGCAGCAAAATTCCATGAACATTCCCCAGATATATTTGTGACTGTAGGTTGTATTTTTGGAAATATTTCCCTTCATTAGCGCATTCATACTTCGAACATGCGCAATGCCAAAGCGTGACATTTCGAAATTTATTTTGGATGAAGTTGTCAAACTCAATGGTGTCGTTCGTTAATCCTGGTGTCGTCATAGTGATTGATAATTGCACTGAATGCAATTATCGGTATAATGTTAGATTGATTGGTTGTGTTCAATCATGTGACCACAAATTATTTGATTTCATTGGATTTCTACTTAACCAAAAAATGTCGCTCTAGAGTGCTCTAGATGACAACCTAGTTAGGTATGTATTAAATTTACAAGCGATAAGATTTCCACAAAAAGGTTCGCTAACACAGTACTTCAAATGAAATTCTCGCACAATAAACTGTACAGGGTGATTCACCAAAAATGTCCCCCCCTCTAGCTCAGTTATTTTTGAACCGATTGCAAAATTTTAAATATAATCTGAAATGATTTCCGATAGAGTTTTTTTCCGCTACATCAGAAAATACAAGGTGCTCGGAACAAACGATCTACAGGGTACTATTTGATTTTTTTGAAAGAGACACCCTATTTTTCATTGTATTTTTAGATTCTCCCTGAAGAGCTAATTTCTACACATTTGGGGTCTAGCGAAAATGATTACAGAGATATAGGGTGTTCAAAATCGAGATTTTTCAACTCTAGGATTTTTTTGTGACGAAACCATTCATTATCGGTTAAAACGACTTTCATGTCCGTATCTTAACTTTTGTTTCACAATCTACTGACATTTCATAATTGGAACAAATACAGGGTGATCGGAATTCTGAATCTTGAACTACATTTTATATGTTCCAATTAAATGTCAGTAGATAGTAAATCCAAAGTTGATAAAAGGACATCAATGCCGTTTTGACCAATAATGAATAGTTTCGACACAAAAAATACTAAAGTTGAAAAATCTCGATTTTGAACACCCTATATCTCTGTAATCATTCCCGCTAGACCCCAAGTGTGATGCATTAATAAAATCAGCTCTTCAGGGAGAATCAAATAATACAATGAAATACAGGGTTTTCCATTAAAAAAAATCAAGTAGTACTCTGTAGATCGTTTGTTCCGAGCACCCTGTATTTTCTGATGCAACAGGAAAAAAGTTTCTGAAAAATCGTTTTAGATGATTTTTAAAATCTTTGAATCAGATGAAAAATAAGTGAGCTATAGGAGAGAACATTTATGGTGAATCACCCTGTACGTACATACATTGACTTGTATAACTTTTTTATCATAGGAAAAAATTAAATAACCTGTGGAAAGGTTAGTGATTAAGCCTTCATTTTCGGAAAGTATGTGCTCAATATTCTACATTGAATAACGTGTATCAACTTGGAAACGATATTGTTTGGATGTAAGTATGACAAAGAAATTCTGAATTATACATCATATTATTTATCTGATTTGGAAGTCAATGTCAATTCTCAATTTTAAAAGATTTTCATTTTCATATCCTCCTTTCGGATGTTCAACAGATATCCTTCAATGTGCGACATGGCAAATAGCCAGGAAAATAGTTGTTTTCTGTTGAATATACCGAGAGAAAATCGATATTTTCATCACTCATATAGAGAATGTGAATTCTCAATGTATTTCTTTGAATCTATCCATTTTTGCATGTTCATAATATATCTGAGAATATTTCTTTTCAATACTTTGAAAACGATAATTACCTACTAAGAAAACAACTTCAACAATGGTCAATTTTTGAGATCTAGTTGATCATTAAGTAAAATGTTTAAATCTTTGCGTTTGTTGATATCTGATGATTCCAAATGATTGAGTTTTATTCCTTTATTTTCTACGTGTGAAATTTCGATATTACCATCAAAACTATGGTTATCTTTTAATTTAATATGAAGTTCGCGTATGTTCAATTTATTTTCTTTTTGAAAAAATGCATCTTATTTTCATGAATGCAGTGATTAAACGTTTTATCTGTCTATGTCTATGTATACCTCAGGACAAAATCCACAGTTGAGTTGGTATGCCCCTGATTTTTTTGATTTAGGAGTTTTGTGTTTATTATTTTTGATACACCGTCTCATTCTTTATTTGTTCTATTGGCAACCCTCCTTTTCATGTAGAAATGAAGCAAATTTTTAGTTCAGACAAAACATTTTTTTGTGGATATCTTGTTTGTGATGTTTATTATATTTTCCATGAATTTTCATCAAGTAACGGCCGAGTCAATTCTAAACGTATGGAGGTTGATCATGACAACTACTAATCGTTGTTCCACACTTTGTATAGTCCATCGAGTTCTATCACCAACGATAATATACCAATCATTTAATCTCTTATTATAATTACAATAAATAGTTTCAATTAAAATTAGGTCCTTATTAACATATTTGCTATATCTACTTTCTTATCGCACTCTCACATTTATTTACAAAAGTCTTCTCACTCTCACATCTTCACAATCTCTTTTTCCTATCTGCTGCTTTGATACACCTTCCTTTGTAGCATATCTCGGTTTCATGGGACACCTCAGTAGAAGTTGAAGTTCGTACAGCTCTCATTTCCCAAGGTTCAACTTGGAAAGGTGGCATCTTTTGACCTGGCCTGATAGTAGTTGTGGAATCCACTTCTGTTGTTGTTTCTGGTGAGTATTCTGTGACGGCCTGAGTTGTAGTATTTGTAGATCCTTCTGTTATTTCTTCAGGAAAACTCGGAGTTACTAGTGTGGTGGTTGGTGTTTCGGTGTCATCATACGAAGCAGGACTCAAAGTTGTTGCTCCCCATATTTGTTCTCTACCTGAGACACCTAACATTTCATAAAGCGAGCTGAGGAAACCGCTGTCTTCAGTAATTGTGGTTTTTGTGTGTTGACTTGTCGTTTCAATTATTGGGTTCGTTGTTTCCTGCAATGGTTCCCCAGTATTTATATTGTCCTCATGGATTTCACTTATTGGCTCTTCAGGATGATATGTAGTCGTTGGATAGTTATCACTGGTTTCTTCTTTATTGTCTACATGAGCTGCTTCCAAGATAGAATCTGTACTATTCGAAGAATCTTGAATTGTGTCAACAACTGGGATTTTCTCACTAGTTACAGCATCAGTGACATTTATTTTTCTCAAATCATCATATGAATTCAATACAGAGTAATAATCTTGCGATTCAGATTCTGAATCTATTGGTGCTTTCTGATGATTACTTATTTTCTCATCGGCATCTATTTTCTTGATTTCATCAAACGAATTCAATACTGAATAGTAATTTTGCGATTCAGCAACTTCAAGGCGATCAACTGGTCGTTGTTTCACCAGTTTCCATGTACCACGTCTGCGTCCGTTTGATATTGGTTTCTTAGTAGTATCTTTCATTCCCTGATATTTGTTGTTAATGGCTTCGAATATACCTTCCATTGCCTCTGATGCTTCTTTGTACGTTGTCTCATAACTACTAGATTCGATTAATTCTTCTGTATTTGCTTTGATTGGAAGTGCTATTGGTTGTTCGGTGGTCGTTTGGGCATCCGAGGATTCTCCTATCAAGTTGCCTTGTCCTAAGAACAAAAATTTTGTCAGAAACATATAACAGATATGTTGTAGATGAATGACCATCTATATTATCGGTTCTCGTTGATGAGAATTTAATTGAAAGTTCAAATTTTGTTCGACTCTTCAACGACAAAAATTTCCGAAAATCATCCTCGAGCATGACATTTCAAAAAGTAAAGTTATGTTTATTTTACTTGGTTCTTTGGGATTTTCTCTCCTCGTTTCTATAAAATAAAAGTATTCGTATTATTTCAATATATTTGTAGAGGGACAAATCAGATGATTTGCCCCAAAATGTCACTGCGTTTAACAAATTTTTCTATCAGGGAGTCTAAAAGAAAAATCCAGTAGCTTGTCAGTGACAATTTGTTTGAAAAAATTTTTGAAGGAAAGAAATATAGATATATTGAAAAAATATCGAATTTGTACTTATCTTTGGACGTTTCGGGACCGATTCTGCTCCCGTTCTCAACATGTAAATGCAAATTATTTTTCTTTGAAATTTTTTGCTGCGTACCTATAGTTTGACACTTTTCAATGTCATACTGATGTTGGCATATGAATGAGTGATTTTAGTCTACAAATGAGTTACAGGATGTTTTCATTAATTGATCTTGAATCTACCATTTTCATGAATCGGTCCCGAAACGTCCAAAGATAAGTACAAATTCGATATTTTTTCAATATATCTATATTTCTTTCCTTCAAAAATTTTTTCAAACAAATTGTCACTGACAAGCTACTGGATTTTTCTTTTAGACTCCCTGATAGAAAAATTTGTTAAACGCAGTGACATTTTGGGGCAAATCATCTGATTTGTCCCTCTACAAATATATTGAAATAATACGAATACTTTTATTTTATAGAAACGAGGAGAGAAAATCCCAAAGAACCAAGTAAAATGAATGTACCACCTCCTCGATTAACCTACAGACAGTATTTAAAGTTATGTTTCTTCGGACTAGAATGAATATAGAAATCATCAGCTTATATTGCTTCAGAAGTCATGATAATAAAAAATAAGTTGAATGTCAATTATCTTCTTCAATATGTTAAAAGATGATGGAGCAGTTTTCAATGTTTTAAAAAAGTGTTTTTAAAGTGTTTTTTAACCGCCAGCTTAGTTGCAAAGCAACCCTCGAAAGTCAGAGACTTGTGTGAGTTAAGAAGACGGGGACCTTAGCTTTTTAAGTGTCATCCGAAGCACTACTCGGCTGGTAACCGTGATTATCAATGATTTTCATTATCCTTTACGTGGAAGTTATTCCTCGCTCATGACCTCCCAATCAATAAAGGCTGATTATGAACTCCATTTGGTCCCAAAATGTGGATATGATTTTGAGCTTTCTCGAATCTTTGCAGTTGATAGATTGGCGTGATTCAAATAAATATATTATGTCAAACATCAAGAAATTGTGTATCCAATGAGTTTAATAAAAACTAGCTTGTGATATTGTAGAAGGAGAACAACATTTAGAATTCTATGATTCGTAATTGGTGATCCTAAAATTTCATTATCATACCTTTATCTCCTGCATCATATTGTGAAGCTTCATGCCATTCCTCAGGTCTAGCCAGAACATTTGGCCTGTATAATGAATGGTGAGGTACCTGGTCATCTTCCTCTTCATCGTCAGGTGTAACTGTTATCTGGAAACTTGGTGAGCGAGTAGTGAATTGTTGCTTGTTCTGGAAAAATTCAGCTGGGTAATTGCCACCTTCTATATCATCTTCTCTTTCTTTCCTCAAATTTTCTGGAACCTTATAATGACTTCTACCTCTAGATCTTAGTGCATTCGGGTTCTTTGTACTAGATTCTGTATCAACATTCGCAGAAATTCTTGGAGAATTTTGTCGATGTGGTGCTCTTGTTCTTGGTCTTATTCTTGGTCTAGGAGTTTCAACGTCTTCACGTTCAATATTACTACTCGTAGTCTGATATTTTGGCACCAATTCTCCTACGAATCTAGGCGTAGTAGAATAAGCTTCTCTGGTATTGTCATATTGAAGACGGGTGTCATCTCTCGTTTGACTTGGAGTACTCTCGTAGTACACGTTAGGCCTTGAAGAAGTTGTTTGTTCAGATTGGTGGACGGGAGGTTGACTGAAGTTTGGTTGCCTGAAGAAACCATAGAACTCCTCTTCTTGTTCTTCTTGTTGCACTGGTGTTGATGGTCTCCTAGTGGTGACCGCTTCTGTTGTGGTAGAGACGGGTCTAGATCTACCTCGCACCCTTCCTCGTAATTTCACACTTTCCCTCGGATTTTCCTCAGTTTTATAAATGATATTGTCAGACTGAGTCCTTACTTTGTTTTGTACTGGGTGTTTTATCTGAACATCCACCAACTGTCTTGATGTTGTTGGAGTATTTTCATATTGAAATAGAGGTTGTTGTGATGATTTGATTTGATGACGTTCGTTATCAGCGATATTTTCCGCATCAGGTCTGGCTGTACTGATTTGTAGGTCATTAACATTATTTCCGAATTGAATATAAGGCTCACTAGTGTACTTTATTCCCGACTCCGAAGTTGGACCATTATGAACCTGTAAATTTCAGAGATATGATATGAAACCTTATCGAATGTTAAAATGATTTAGTTCTAGTGAATGAGGATATAATACTCACATCATTTTCGGTTGATGAAAGCCTTCCTGAAATATTGTTAGGAGTAGTGCGTCCTCTTGTCCTAAACCTCTGTCTAGTGCTTGTTCTCTGACTATCTCCAGTTTCTTCTGAATAGCTTGATCTTTCTGTAGTTGTCCTTTGTGTATGACTTGGCCGTCTCCTGGTTGGAGTTCTTCTGGTTGTGGGAACGTTATATCTACTTCCCCCTCTTTGTCTGCCTCTAATGCGGCGTTGGGTGGTCGTTTCAATATATCTCTCAGTCGTAGAAGTAGTAGTAGTGGTGGTAGAGGAAGTAGTAGTATCCACAGTGTCAGTGGTTGGTAAGTATTTAGGAGCTGAGTAATCATCGTCAGGAGCTCTCGGAACAAGAAGATTTGGTACTAGTAGTGATCTAACAGAAGGATCTTCATAATTAATATCAGTGTCAGAATTCACCTCAGGAATGACCTGAACATTCAGTTCTTTGTGGCTGCCTTGATGCTGGCCTCTGTTGTGTACAAGTGGTTCAATGTTGGGCTGGACCTCATATTGCTGAGTGAATGAATTATCTGGGTATTTTTGTCTACGACCATCCTCTTGGGAATTTTGTCTGTAAACATTCTGTAGGATTTGTTGATCCATCAAATTTTGATTGAGAATGTGTTGGTTTTGTGTCTGGACATTTTCATTGTACGTTGGAATATTCTCATTGTATATTGGAGCATCATAGGCCTGCGAGTTAGAGTTTTCATTGACTTGTAACTTATAAACTCTCGCAGGTATATCTTCTATAACAGTTTCATCAGATTTATATATCGATTGGCTTGGTTTATCCTTAGCAGTTATATAGCTTGGAGTAGTTGTTCGCAGTGTATAGACACTAGCTGGATTTTCTGCATTATCTTCAGCATATTGGTTTCCGTGTGGTTCTTGATATTGGGGTGTTTCTTGATATTGAGGATTTTCTGCATATTGAGGGGTTTTTGCATATTGTGGAGTTTCTTCATATTGAGAATTTTCTGAATACTGAAAAATTCCGGGATATTGGTGAGTTTTAGGTTTTATAGAGAATTCTTCTAACACAGTATAACGTTCTTCTTCTGTAGGTGCTGTAGACGTAGTGGTAGTAGTAGAAGTTGTGGTAGGCCTGCTTGGCCTTCCCCTTCGTCTTGATTTGCTGCTTATAGGACGAACAGTTGTTTCTACATCGGTATCCCTCAAAATGGATGCTGGGGTACTAGCGAATCTATGTAATTCAGGATCAAATTTGTACTGAGATTCTTCAGTGGTTGTTTGTGGACGATGCCTTGTTCTATATCTTCCTTGTTCTCTTTGGTTCGTTTGTGGATCTGAGTCATAATCATACTGATTTTTCACTCTGGGCTTCTCTTCAAGTTGAGAATTAATTTGATGCAACTCGAATTCGTTGATCGCTAGCTCCAAAGGATTCACGTCAAGAGTTTTGATTTGTTGTTCATTCTGAGACGAATGAGCCTTCTGTGTTTGTTCTTGCTCTGGTATTGGTTGTGGTGTTATACTAGCGAAAGAATTCTCAGAACCGTCATTATATTTCTCAGTATTTGATATCGAGTGCAATTGCGAATTTGGTTCTCTTATATTCTGAACACTCGAATAATAAGGAGTCTCGTAATTCTGATGATTTTGTTCGGTTATAGTTGGCTGATTTGTCGAATTTCCTTCGCTGTATGTTTGTTCCTCTTGACTAGACGTTGTTCTTGAAGGAATATTCACATCTTGATTCTTTGGGGTCGTGAATCTGTGGTTATTGCTAGGTTCATCAGTATATCTTGGAGTTGTTCTTATGATGTTATCTCCCCCAGTTGGGTACTCAAATGTTGGATTATGAATATTCTGACCTTGTCTATATCTCTGATCATCAACAACCCGTGGTAAATTGTACGGATCATTCAGAGGTTGTTGATAATATCCAGATGATACAGGAAACTGTTTATTATGATTGACATTGAATTGCAATAACTGTGGTTGTGGGGTAGAATACAATTGACCTTGGTTGTAATAATCCTGATTCTGATATGTCTGAGGTGTTGAGTAATCATTGAAGGGAATAGGTGTTGGCGTTATAGATTTTATACGGTTGGTTGCAGGTGTTGACCTCTTCAATTCCTGGGGGTCTTCTTTGTTGGAAATCACCACTGAACCAACGTGAGGTGCAGGCAAGGGGATCTTCGAGTAACCTGGTGGCGTCTTGAAGCTAAGAGGAGCCACGAAAAAAGGCAAGCTCTCGATTCTTTTCTCGATTCTATTTCCCTCTACGTTATTCAAATATGGCAACGGAAATTTGCTGTAACCATCAGGCGCATCCAATGATGTAGGTCCGATGAAAATTTGAGGTGAGTCTGGCTGCACACTGTCCTGAACAGATATTGACTTAGCACCTTTCAGTATGTCGAGGACATCTTCTATATCAGCTGGTTGGTTACCTTCCATGTATACCGCCAGAGGTGGTTGGTGGGGTTTCCTTTTCTTTGGTGGTTTAGAAGTAGTGGTAATGAGGGGTTGCAGTAAGATGGGCTGGCCATCTTCGAATTGTTGTTGTAGTTTTGTAGCTCGTAGGGCTTGTTCGATGAAGTCGTGTTGGATCGCTGCTAATTGATTTGCATGATTGTTATTCACAATTTTATCATCATATCTCGGTGATTCAACCTGTTGAATGGAAAAAAATTTAGTTGGTAGTTCATAGAATCGTAGTAGAAATTGAATTATATGCCAGAGATGGTTTACCTGTTTATAAACAGCTTGTGAATCTTGCGGGATAGGTTGATTGGGTTTCAAATTTTCTAATGGCACATACACCAGCTGTACTGATTCCTTCTCGACGGTTGTAGCATCAGCAGCAGACAGTGAGTCATCTCCAGCCTGACTTGATTGTTGCCTATTCGGAGTATTTCCAACAAATCCATCAACGTTTTGTTGGTAAGAATTGGCACTCAGTAACTGTTGATTGAGAAAACTAGGGTTATTGAAGGGAATTGTGTATTTATCGTAAATACTAGCAGCGTCTGGGGCTGGTGCTCTTTCTCTAGTATTCGGCATACTTGTTTGAGTCTGTTGATTGTGATGTGGTCTGAGGGGTGATCGGTATGGTTCTAATGGTGGTGGTTGCTCATAATTGGGAAGTTTCACCTCTTGGTTCGTAAAGTATTGCATTTGCGGTTTGCCTGAAATGACGATATTCTGAATATTCTAATGAAAATAAAGTAGGTACTACTACCTAGCAATAATTCTCGCTATTTATAGTTGAACAAAAAACTATTGCGATATTCATAATATACTGACTCACCTTTTTGTCGTGGTAGGTGTGGTAATTCGAACTTGTAGCTATTGTCTTCATATTTCGGTATGTTATACCTGTCTCTGTTTTTAGAGTGAGGTGGGGTAAGAGGCCTATGTTTTCTATATAAGTAGTCATCTTCAGGAAAGAAATTCTTAGCCGGTGCATCCAAGTTGAGAACACGACCTGTGGCTTTTTTGGGGGCAGCTTCATCATTTTTTGTTTTTTGGGTTATGGGAACCCAGTCACTTGTATCGTATGATCTAGCATTTTGCGATGTTACTATGTATATCAGATGGGCTGCTAATATCAGTTGTATGTGTCGCACTATCTGAAACAAAAATATATTTTCTCAAAGTGATTTATAATTTTCACACTTATCGAAGTTTGATTCGAAAAATAAATATCATCACTATGAATAATATATAGACAATCTGAACAGAAAGTTGGGAAAACCCGTTCGGTTTACCAAAACTTCAGGATTATCAATAATCCGAATACGTGATTTAACATTATCCAGACGTAAAACTACAGCCTTTCTATCATTTCAATAATACTATCATTATCAAATTTCAACAAGGACAGAGGCAAGGCCAAGGGTTAATGTGACAAGAGAAGCCATTATTTTTATTAAATATGCACATACATACAGAGTACAACTCACAAAACAACCAAACAACATAGCTAAGTAAGACTAACTCGCAGACGGATTGCGGAAACTCAGGGTGTTCGAATTATGGATATATATATCATTTTTTATTCGTCATTTTACGGTGATGGGGCACGCAGAAAAATGAATGGTACAAACAACAAGGATCACTGTTAATCTTACCTCGAAAAACGTCATGAATAGGCACAAACTTTCGTGGAAGTGGAATATACTAGTTAAAAACGTTGAAACAACCTAACTAGGATGAATCGTGGTGAAACTAAATGCGAATTTTTGGAATCAATCAACACGGCTTCCTGGTAAAATTTACCAAGAATATTGCAGTGAAACACCATAGAGGGAGTATTTGATACTATGATCATGACCTGCTAGTAAATCTGATTTTGTGATTTTCGGCAATCAAGCTGTTGAAGTCAAGTGCTGAATTATTTACCGAAGATGATAGTAAAGTATATTGCATATCTAGATTGCCACACATTGACACTAAATTTATTAAGAATACATTCATGTTAAATATCGATTTCGAAATATTCATTCGACGATCTATTGACTTCTATATAGTTTTGGAGGCCAGCTCAAGGAAAAACTGCTCAATTTTTCTTCACATCAACTGGACATCATATCAAACCTGAGAAGATTGGAAAACTAATGCTATTTGTTGTATGTATCTACGTAGGCGGAGTGTCTCAGGTATTTTTGGGTTTTTCTCCTTGTTCCTGAAATCATATAAAAAATTCGAATGTTAACCAAAATATAATCCTACAGATGCTTATACCGGGTGTCCGGAAAGGTCAGGGTAGGTCGTAAATGATAGGAATGATAGAGAGACCCAAAATAATGTTAGTAATTCATATAAAAAAATCTCTATCGCACTTCGTTACGGACAGTTTGAATATCAAAAGGTAGTGTGGCTTCAGTGAACTGTAATTATTTTAGAGGGTGAAGGGGTGTAACAATTATTTCCGTTGATATTCAAACATTTAGTCTTGTCTTATCAATAACAAATTATTAATATCATATTTTATATCTGGAAATGCCTGTTATTAAAATGATTAACACTGAGAATAATATTCAAATTTCACCAGATGATCAACTGCTGCTGATTACTGATGAAAATGATGAAAAAACGTGTTCCGAATTACAGCACAATATTTTTGATTTCATATTTCTGAACTCAGATTTTCAGCTGAGTCAGTGTTTCGTAATATAGCCTAAATTAACTTATACTAATGCTCCTTTCGATATGTCAACTGCTGTTCAGTGATCATGTTTTATACAAGATGTCGAGGTGCTATTTTTCTGCGTGGGTGTTCGGATTATAGAGCATTTAGGATAACTTAATAGGGGACAACCTGTCTCTTCTGTTTATCTATGATATCTTCACGAAAAATGAACACTTGTAGGATTTCATTATAGTGTAACAGATATTCATGTGATTAAATGAATAAGCAATTATATCTTGTATCTTGGAGAGAAAGTTGTTTTGAGAGACCGAAGACCGACAAAGCTGTTTTGTCCCAGTTCGTTCCGTTTACTTGGGCGTTGGAATTTCCACTCCAAATACATTCCATTTACGTGTATCTAACGGCTGTTTATCAGACTCTCGTTACCATGGTAAGAACGTAGTAATTCAGTGTAACAATCTATGATCGAGTGTGATTCATCAACGATATTTTATGAATAGGTACTGGTAAAGTATAAGGAAAAGCCTTCGAAAATTATATGGAGGAGATTGATGGCTTTGTTTCGAAATACTAACTATTTGTATATCTAGTGCGCAAAAAGCTCGACTGTTTTTTTAACGTGGCTACACCCCTTAAAAAAATCAGTTTTAGATCACCAAAGTATTTAACGCACGAGTTGCTGACAGTTTTTTTTCTACAAACGTCAAAAAATGTTGTCTTCGAATAATCAAGATGATTAGCCTAATATAAATAGATAGTCGTTTGAAAAACTAAAGAAACACGCTTTTATAGATAACCAAACTAAAAACAAGTAGAAAATCAAATAATAAAATTGTGCTGATAAATACACAACATATAATAAACTGATCATATTCACAAATCTTTTCAATTTGGCTATTTAAAAAGTCGTCTTCCTTCAGTTTCTTGAACCACTATATTAATTTCCTTTTTTTCAGATCGGCTAACTACAAAAGCGTGTTTTTTAGTTTCTTTATATTTTTTTAACACCCAATTCTGACGAAGGAATAATAATCTCCGACCCTGAAACCCCTCAGAATTTTGAATAGAACGGGTCATAATTACAAAACTCTTCCGCCCTATTGGATTCGCCATTCTGAATTTTCCCATTTTTGACGAAAGAATCATAATTTCAGATTCTGAAAACGCCCAGATACTAATTTTGTATAGTATCGGATCATAACAATTACAAAACTCGTTCGCCATACTGAATCCGCGGTCTTAAATTTGACAATTTTCACCGAAAGAATCATAATCTTCCACTCTGAATAGAATCGAGTCATAATTACAAAACTCTTCCGTCATATTGAATCCGCCATCTAGAATTTCTATATATTGACGGAATAATCATAATCTCGGACCCCGAAAACCCCCAATTTCGAATAGAATCGGATCATAATTATAAAACTCCTTCGCCATATTGGATCCGCCATCTTGAATTTTCGTATTCAGACGGAAAATTCATAATACTCGATCCCGAAAACCCCCAGATTCCAATTTCGAATGGAACCGGATCATAATTACAAAACTCGTCCGCCATATTGGATCCGCCATATAAAATTTTCCAATTTTGACGCAAGAATCATGATTTTCGATCCCTAAATCTCCAAGGCACCAATTTCGAATAGAATCGGATCATAATTACAAAACTCGTACGAAATTTTGGAGCCGGCGTCATTTTGCTTTCATGATGCATGGTCACCAGAATGAGGTACACCTGCCAAATTTCAAATCAATCGGAAGTTTGGAAGTGATCAAAATCACGTTCGAAAATTCCGTTACAAACAAACAAACAAACATACGTGCATACATACCATATTTCCTTGGTGTGGAGACTTTAACTGGAATAAATTCGCCAGCATGGAAATGAATATTTTTTTTGAAACGAACACGAAAACGATTTGCCTACCTTTTGCAAGCAATATCAAGAATATTTTCCTTCAGGGGTAACTGAAACTAGAGTTCCTCAATGTACCTGACCCATCTGTAATGACGTTTTTTGTACAGTTAGACATAACCAAAAACAATTCTGAAGAAAATCATATTTGGTCAGACAAGGACAAGTGTATGTTTTTCGCTTAGATAAAGGCTTCTCGCATTTTCCTTCCTCTACATGTTCAGGGTAAAGTATATCCATATATATCCATATTTCTTTGTCTTTCATTTTTGAATGAGAGTGCATATCGTCTCCTCAAGTCGGAAAAAGGGTACGATAAATTAATTGGATTAATTAGTTCTTCTTGAAATATGGAATGATAGGGCTGAAAAACCTAGATGGAGGTCGATGGCCAGTTGGTATGTAAATTATATACTACCGAAGTGCATATTATATTACCTACTATGAAATGATTACGAACTGAGAGGAAAAGTAGGTTCAGTGATTTATTGAGGGGCTCCGTGGCCGAGTTTGTCTATGCGCTGAAATTCGCTAGATAGCCGTTCACGATGCAGAGGTACTGTCGGTTCGAATCCGGCTATCGGCTGAGCATTTTTCTTTAAAATGTGTGATTCATGGTTGTAATCCTGGCAGCACTTCGATGCCCTAGAAGTGGTTCGGATTCCACTATAAGCTGTAGGTCCCGCTCTTCCTAACCCCGCACAAGTTTCGACTTCTGGGGAGTTGGTTCCCAACTTTGAAGTAGCGATATACAAATTTTACAAAAAAAATTTTATAAATTGAATTATTTTTGTAGCATAAAAGTTCGGAATGGGGTTAAAATTGATAAATGACAACTGATGAAACAAACTTTCATTACAGATGTAACATTTCCGCATATACAAGAGTGGTAGGTAATAAGTACAGTTGAATAATATGAAGGGATAGTATGATGGATTCACGATACTTCAGTTAAGATGAATGATAGAGATTTTCCCATTTTTGATAAAACAGGGCATAATTTTGGGATTTTTGACTTTGGCATTGGCCTCATGTTATAGTAACGCCAACTGGTGAGAGTGAAAATGTTAGGCTTCATTCTACAGAAAAAATGAATCATATATGAAAATCAATTGAATAGCCAGCGTAACCTCGTGGTTGAAGCGTCAATATTCTATCCACGTTGGATTGGCGGTAGGTTAAGAGGTAAGACTTTCGTCATTCCTTGCTCGCACAAGTCTCTTGAAGACTTTTGAGGGTCGCTCATAAGGGGGCAATTGTGTAGTTATCGACAGGAATAATCAAATTTCATCGATGCTACTAATGACATCAATGGTATCTAATAGAGAAGATTGATCACACCAAATCAACCCACTTCAAAACCAAAGTATTTCGCTTGAACATCTAGGTATATGTATAGAAATACCGGAGGCGTATAATGGATGGGTGTGACTAATAATTCTGCTTCAGACGCCAACTAAGGTTTGTGCAACCATGAGAAAGTGTGAAATGTTCATCTGGTGACATATTCCGTAATGAATATTAATGTCAGCATCTTACCGAACCTTGACATTGTTCACATG